CCGGGGCTTGGGACTCCCAGGATGGCACCATCCCAACCACTAACTTGGGGCTGGGGCCCCTTCCCTCCACGTATACCTGGGGTTTGTGCATGTTTTCTGCTGGGTGGGATCAGAGGGCGATTTCTCTTTTATGTGTACATACGCTAAATAAACGTAATTTAAAAGACGTGCACAGCTGGAAGCCTGTATTGATGGGGTGGCTGGTGTTCATGAGTTCCCTTGAAGATACTGAATTAAAGGGGAAAAAACAAACCCCAGGTTTTGTTTACATTCTGGCCGAGGGTAGAGGCGTGAGGGAAACCAGCTTCTCACCAGCATTCCTGCGGACTGCAGGCTGGTGCAAAGCTGCTGCCCCCCCCCACGGACGGAAGATGGGCTGGGGGGTGCTCCGGGGTAAGCCGTGCCAAGAAACCTTACTGCTGGCAGAGGTGGCATCCTGGGCTCTCCTCTCTGTGTGGCCTCGGAACTCCTGCAGGAACAGGTGAGCACCAGGTGCTGCTGTGAGCTGGGGCAGAAGGGAACTGTGGGCCTCGGTCACGGCTCCGGCTTACTGAGCAGTTAGTTACCAGGTACCGGATGCTAAGTAGCCCCCTGGCATTAGCTCACGTGACCTCCATAATAGCCTTGGGGAAAAGATAACTACCAGCATTTTCTGTTGCATAAGAATCTAAATCTTGCTTTTCTTCAGTAATACCCCAGACCCTGCAACTGCCATTTAGCAGAGACTGGGAACAAGGACTGTAACTCGCAGAGCCGGTGCTTGAGTCTAAACCACTGTCTACTGCCCTTGTTGCTGGGTTCATCCCCTCAGTGTGTCAGGCATCCCTCCTGAAGTAAAAACTTCCAGGCCTCTTCACTAGTCCCAGAAAGAGGAAGACATGAATGTTCTTGTTAAAGAGTATTTTTTAAATAACCTGGTTCCACTAAACAGGTTTACGGAGCACTGACCAAGTAGCAGGAATATGTTCAAATGGGGCAGGAGAAGCCAGCTCCCTGCCACCCCTGAGCCGGAGAGGGTCACTTTCCTGGACCAGCCCTGCCCTGGCATCCTGCGTCCCGCAGGAGTTGGGGCCTGCTAACCCAGACACTCAGCCTCCTGCAGGCACAGCTATTTCCTTCATCTATTTTTGCCTCTTTTATTAGGTGGCAGCAGGGCCTGCAGGCTAATTCTACCAGCGTGACTTGGCCACAACATTGTAGTTAAAGCAGAAAACCAGTACTGATGGGGATCATTTAGACCCCTGAAAGCCACTTTTGGCTTGAATTACTCAAAGGAGTGGTGGACAGAACTAATCAGCATCTAATTTGGCATTAGATCTGCCTCCTGGGGGTCCAAAAAGATGCCTTTTGATAAAGAAATCGGGATGGTAGCTTGAATCAAATCTAGGGGCCCTTCTAACAGACTCCTCCTCCTCAGAGACCAGTGACAAAAAAGGAGCCCTTTCATACCTGGCTGGAGAGTCAACCAATTCGATAAGAGTTCTTGAAAAAAATCTGAAGCAGAGATCACCAACACCTTAATAAAAACAAAAGCATCAGGTAAATCACCTGCCCCATGACACGCTCAGTGACAGTTCACATCCCCAGTGCTGACAATGACTGTTCCAGGTTTTACCACTATTTTACTGATTGCGTTTTTGAGCCTAAAAAGCAGAACAACAGAGCTAAAAACATAACTGTGGACTTGGGTGGAATTGTGCCCCTTCCTAACAGATGGGGCAAATTCTCTCTCCTGTATAATGGGTACAATACGTACCTTATCAGATCATTAGAGAGGACACATAGAGAAGCACCAGCACTTGGTGGCATCTGGCAAACGTCCCCTAAGAACGGCTGGACTCCAGAGCCCAAGTGTCTTCCCTGGAGCAAGAATATTTTGAAAAGCTAGTTAATTGGCCAAATTGTGAATCATAGGCCAAGGACTCACCTCACTCAGAATCACCTGGGGGAACCTGTTAAATTCAGCAAATTTTATGGACTCCACCCCTAATAGATTCTGACTCAGTGTGGGGTTTAGCCCATGTTTAATAAATACCGCAGGTGACACTGAGGTCAGGATGCAATTTGAGAAGCACCCCAACCTGTTAAGAAAATCTAAAATCCTTCTTTGGAGGAACCCAAAGAAGCACATTTGGGACTTTTTGTGACTAACGGGACAAAGGCCCCGACATGTTCTGTCTTCCAACAGACGAGGGAAGTCAGCAGGATCTGGCAGGGTTCGTACCACTGGTTGTTTTAAACCCTGGTAAGAATTCAACCTGACTGGTCTTTCCCGACCTAGGACCCTTTAGGAGATACATCAGACAGAGGAAAACGGGACAAACCATCCTGGTGACTGGGCGGTGGTGGTGTTCATGCTGGATGCATGGCCACACGCATGCCCTCCCGGGGTTTGGGACAGGAAGAACAGCGAGTCAAGACATTGACCTCACCAACACTGGACCCAAGCAGGGGGAGGGGGCCCTCTCCTGGGCCTGGCACTGGCCATGCCTGAAATCCTCCCTTTAACAGGGTCACGGACTTCTCCAACACTGTTTCTCCCCACACACACACCTGTGCCCTGAGCCCGTAGCCACCTGCACGGTGCCTCTTTCTCCTTTGTCGAGTTTGAATAAACACCATTTTACAGCTGACCTGCTCTCCAGCCCCTTCAAGGCTCCTTTCCAACCCCCTTTATCTTCCGTCATCTGTGGCCTGACATGGTAGCAATTTCGCCTGTCACTTAGGTTACAGATCAAAAAAGTGGCCAGCTAAACTCAGTTTGGGTATTAGACAACCACTAGGTACAGATTAAATTTAGACAATGTGTTTAAGTGTCAAGTTATATTAGAGAGGAGGGGAATTAGCAGATTCCTATGAAAACAGACTCTGGGATGTCTTTATCTTCTTATTTAATAAAAAGTTTCTGCTGGGGCACCTGGGTGGCTCAGTTGGTTGGGTGGCCGATTCTTGATTTCAGCTCTGGTCATGATCTCAGGGTCCTGGGATCGAGCCCATTGTTGGGTTCCCCACTCAGTGTGGAGTCTGCTTGGGATTCTCTCTCCCTCTCCCTCTGCTCCTCCTCCCACTCTCTCTCTCTCTCTCTCAAATAAATAAATTTGGAAATTTATTAAAAGAATAAAGTAAATAAATAAAAACAGTTTCTGCTAAAAGATAATTAAAATATGCCTGTGCTAATAATCATGTCGATTGCCCCAGACAAGAGAAGGGGAGTGAACTTGGATCCCATCTGGTGACGCGACACCCGGCCCTCTCTGGCCCTGTAATATTTTAGTTGCACTGCAGTATTTTTAGACTGTGGTCCAGGACCAGACTAATAAACTTACCTCTAGATGGGATGGTTATGGAAACATTAGCTCTCTGAGCATCTCCAGGTGGTGGCTTGGGACACATCTTGTCTCATCCTACTTTCCGATGTGTCTCTGTTCTTCCCCAAGTGCCAGGAGGGACAGTGCAGTGTCTGGTAAGGGTACAGGTCCACTTCCGTCATCTTACAGGTATAGTCCTCTGGGCAACTCTGCGTTGGATCCCCTGGGCGCAAACCACTTAGTCTGGAGTGTGTGCCATTTACCGCTGACTTAGAAGTCCTCCCGTCCCCAAGAACTAGCGAATGTGCCCCTGAGGTCCGGCCAGCACCTCCCAGGCTCCCAGGCAACACCGTACAAGTGTGGGTAGGGGTAACTCACATCTACATCCAACCTCTGCACTCCAGGAGCCCCGCCCGCCCAGCTGGGTGAAGGAGTCGCAAACACAAGCATGGGCGGCTTGGGTTGGGCTGCAAACAGGGCTCCCTACACCTCTGCTGAGGCTCCCAGTTCTTCATCAGACAGAATCTGAAAATAAAGTGCTTTATTGCTGAGGATCACAGAGAGCTTCAGGGCAGCTGTCCAGGGGCTGAGGTCTCCACCTTTTGGAGCTTTTGTCAACAGGACAGTTGGGACTTCAGCACTTCAGCTCCACAGAAGGCAAGGATGTATGGTTTGGGGGGCTAGGGGGCAGGGGAGAAACACAAGGTGTGCTAGGGGAGCCGATTAGGTGCATCTCTTCCCAGCTCTGAGCTCGGTGCATTCAGTAACAACAGCTTGGGAGCGTGAAGTAGGCCATGGTGGGAGTGTTTACACCACAGAAATCTAGGCTTCCCTGATTTCCCACCAACCCTGTCCAGAGAACTGGTTTACCAGTTCACCGTGGGGCACATCCTCCTGAGCGTAGCTCTGAGCCCACCCCAAGCCGTGCCATCTCCCAGGCCTGCACATGCCTATAACCTGGACAGAACAGAGGTGCTGGACAAAGAAAGGGACCTGAATTGGTTGACTTATTCCCTGCCTGGAGCCAGCCCTTGTCTCTGCCGCCTCAGCCTGTCTGTCCACATTTGGCCCCACAGATTGACTTCAGCCCTACACAAAAGGGATGTCCCCTGAAAGGCACTTTGGAGCCGAGGACAACCTGTTAGGGACCCAGTCCTCGTCTGTGGTGGCTCCCAGTAGGGGTGGGGCAAGAGGGCCTCGTGCCACCACCCAGAGGTAAGGAGGGGGCTGCTCAGGAGGCTGGCTGCCCGCCTGGCAAGGGGCAGCTGTAGCACCTTGGGGCCCGGGCCTCCCGCCACAGGTCCTTGGAACCACGGTGTGCATGGAGAGCTGGGCCCTCGCCTGTGCCCAGAGCCCAGCTCAGGGGGAAGGGGGAAGAAAGTGCGTGGCCAGGCTGGGACACTGCCTCCCAGTGGGCAGAAGGCAGACCCCACAGACACACATTTCCCCGGTATACCCCTCTACCTCAGGGACTGAGCTCCCTCCCTCGCCCTGGGCCTCCCCCGACCCTGTATACCACTCAGCCTTGTCCCCAGCCCCACCCCGACACCTGGGGTGCCCACCTGCCTGGGGTTCACAGGCGGAGGGCCGGTGGCAGCAGGCCGGCATCACCGGGTCTGGGCAGAGGCAGGGCGAGGGGTCTGCAGGGCGGGCGGGTTCTCGGGCACAGCGGGGCCCCCCCACACACACCCGTTAGTACTCCTTAGCCTCCTGCAACTGGGCCAGGTATTCGTCCTCAGGAGGGTTGTCGGCGCAGGCCCGGCCGTTGTCTGGGGGCCGCGCGGCATGGTAGCGGCTCCAGTCCCCCTTGCAGAGGATCCAGGGCAGCGTGGCCACCCTGAAGGGCAGCTCGGGCAAGAAGTGGGTGCTGACGAGGTCGGGAGCGCCGGCGCCCTTGCCCCAGGTCAGCAGCTGGCTGCCCGCGCCGTAGCGGCGGTGCTGGGCGGCCAGGGCGCGGCTGGCCACCGACGGCGGGGAGCGCAAGCAGAAGCGCGCCAAGGGCTGCTACAGGGCCAGGTGCTCCCGCGGGCCGCTCGCATCCCCCCAGCGGAAGCTGCGGTCCCGGGGCTCATCCTGCAGGCTCACGGGGCGCTGGACATGGGCCTCCAGTGGGTACATGCAGGGGCAGCCAGGCAGGTCCTGCAGCACGTGACTCAGGTACTTGGCCAGGAAGTCACTCTTGCAGTTCAGCCACTCCTCACAGCTGTCCACATCTGCAGAGGGGGGAGGGGAGGCAGTCAGCCCCCCTCCCCCCTCCCCAGGTGGGGTGGAAGCTGATCAAAGCTGATCAGGGACCAATGCCCGGAGAGAGAGGGTCCCACACCAGAGCTGGGTGCAGTCGGCCCCGGCCTCCCCTGTGGACAGAGAAGGGCTACCACACACCCTGCAGGAAACGTGAAGCGAGAGGCCACGTCTCAGAGTGGATGTTGGCCAAGGGGCTGGCGGAGGGCCCTGGAGGCTGTCCCTTTACGTGCTGGATGGTGGGAAGGAGCTGGGGTCTTGGGGAAGGAGCTGGGGGGGGGGGGGTTGGGGGCAGGGAACACTGTTTTAAACAATTCCACTGTCTTCACCATTGGTCTATTCTCGTTCTTACCTCCACCAGTCTCAGGCTCACTCTGTCTCTCTGGGCCCCCGGAAGTCCCCTCTGTCTATGCTGGCCTCCTCCATTCTCTCTCCCTTGGGAATGTGGCCTCTGATTCTGGCCACAGAGAACACATGGCTAGCTTCCTCTTTGCTCCAGAACATGGGGGCACACTCTGCCGTGTGGTGCTCAAGCTGGCCATGTGTGTCTCTCCTCCTAAGACCTGAGCTCCTTGAGGGCAGATCCCCGGCCTCGCAGGCTCACCCCACCAGCTCAGGGAGCGTCAGAGGATTGAGCATAGGGCCCATCTGCAAGGGGGCCTGTCGGCAGCTGCCTCCCTCCTTTGTGGGGTGCAAGTGACACCAAGAGATGCAGATGCAGGACATTCTAGTAAAAACAGCCTGCTCCCAAGCTGCTGGAAGGAGCAGTTCCGGAGTTCTGGCCCCTGACCTGTTTCTGATAGCACCCCTTCCCACACAGACCCTGCCTGAGAGCCTCCAGAGTGACCGGGAGTGGAAGGCAGAATATCCCCATCCCAGCCTGCAGCCAGGCAGAATATGCCCCACCGGGTGGTCTCCCATCAGGACCCTCTTTCCAGCAGGAATGTCAGGCTGGGAAAGGCCAATGGCTTGGTTAGGGGGACTCAAAAAGACCAGGGCCCCTTTACTGGGGAGGCTCACCTTCCAGCTGGAACATGTACTAGCTCTCCATGGATGGAAGTGAGATTCTTGTCTGTGCAGTGATGCTCCACCCTCCCGGCGAGGTTCTCCCCAAATCCCCAGGAGCAGGGCCTAGCTCCTCACTGACCTGGACCGAGCATGTGCGTAGCATTGTGGGCCAGGGGCTGCCACTGCTCACTGGGGAAGCCCAAGGGGTCCTTGTCCTCGGTGCCTTTGGGAAGAGAGGCGGCCAGGCTGGTGGGGCCCTGGTGCACCTCTGTGCTCCCAATGGGGAGGCCCAGCCCTCACTAGGCTCTCGGTGCCCACAGCATCTGGCCTAGGCCTGGGCCGAGGCCAGACCCCTGCATCTGTGAGCTGCCTGCATCCCTTCCCCCGGCCCTGCCCTCAAACAAGGCCCCCATTCCCAGGGCACCAAGCCCAGCATGGAAGCGGCTGCCTTTGCAGGCCCTGGGGCTCATCTCACCAGGACAAGGGTGCAGGTCGCAGGCTCGGGACTCGGTGGCCGTGCAGGTGGAGCCGCAGGGCCGAGTCCTCCTCTGGCTGCCGCTGCTGCAGCTCCCACCACAGGGAGACCAGGGGCTCCACTCCTCTGGAAGCTCATAGTCTGGGTCAAGGCAGGGAGCCAGGGGTGAGTGAGCAGAGCCCACAGGGAGCATCGGTGCCAATCAGCAGAAGGCGCCCCTTCCTCAGGAGGATGCCACCCGCGCCAGGGCTCCCAGCCTAGTGGACGAAGCATGGGCTGGACTTTGGCCCCCACCTGTCCCTCAGCTGGCACCCCTGTGCAGTGGACCCCCGTGCGGGTCATGTCAGTCAAAGCCACAGTGACAAGACCGCCCTGGCACTGGGATGTTAAGGAAGATCCTGACTTCCCATGTTCGGGACCCAGGCCTGGCCTGAGGAACCTGACGTACACCATGATGGCACGTGCAGGCCTCCCGCTGCACAGGGCTGAGAGCCGGGGGGGGGGGTCTCTGTGGGATCCCCAAAGTCCTGACATAGCCAGCTCTCTCCTCACTTCCCAGGAGGGTCTGAGCAGGCAGGCACCAACATTTTAAGGACAATTAATGGATGAAGAGCTGAAAGGCATGAAAATTCTGCCAGTTTACATTATTTTGGTGAACTGGGGAAAACCTGCTGGGCCTCAGTCTTCATCACGGCACCGCCGTCCAAGGACGAAACGCCAGGGCTCTGGGGAGAATGGCTGCCACTGTGCATGAGACAGGTCCGTGCCCAGGGAAACCTGAACTGCAGCATAAAAAATAAGAACAGCCGTCACGGGGGCTGGCCAGGCGTGAGGGGGCATTTTCTGGACAGTCTGGGCTGTTATGTTGCATTCCAATAAAAACAGCCAATATTTAGTCTACTATATGCTGGCACTTGAAGTGCATTAACTCAGTACCCTCTATACCCAATCTTATGTAGTAGCGGTGTCATTCTCCATTCTAGAGAGAGAGGAAATGAAGCGCAGAGAGGTTTAAGTAACTTGCTGGTAAGCGGCAGAGACAGGATGCAAACCCCACACAGTCTGAAAACGAGGTCAGTTGTGAGTGGTGGGGTTTATAATATTTCCCAGTTTGTTGGCAACTGACAGATACGAATATATATCAAATTAACAAATGTCCGTCCTGCTGAGGGCGGGGGGGTCTCAAGGCTGTTGTGAAGGTCAAACGTTTGGGGAGAAATAAAACCCCAAATTTTGCAAGCAATGGGTCATGTTGCTACTGAGGGGATGACGGTGTTTCTACAGGCCTAAGCTCCCGGTCTCCACCGCTGCCCCTGCTCGGGAAGCTCTCGGGCCTCTCTCTCGCCCCATTTCCACTCAGGACCTCCAGAGGCGGCAGCCGGGGACGCCAAGATGGGAGCGCTCAGCATAGCCGTCTGTCTCCTTGAAGGCCCAGTCCCCGGGGGCCAGCCAGCCCTGCTCCCAGCTGTCTGCACTGAGCCCGGGCTCCCCCTCCTCATCGCTGTCCTCCTGGGCCTTGCTCTCACCGTGCTCTGCAGGGTAACCCTCCTCCTCCTCTTCGTCCCCTGGGGCTCTGCCCTTGAGATCAGTCCTCCCCTCCTCACCCTCCAGGTGGCCGCAGAATAGGGGCCAGAAGAGCTCCTTGGCGGGCAGCCAGCTTGAGGCACCCTGGGGCCAGCAGCGGCTGGGCTCGGCGGTAGGTCCATCTCCACCTCGGCCTGGGGCTCCTCCACCACCTCAACGGTCACCTGCAGAAGGACAGACCCAGGCCGGCCGGCAAAGGAGGGCTCAGGGCAAGACTCCAAAGACAGGATCATGACGAGTGCCGGCGGCAGGGACAGAGGCCCTCCCTTCCCTCCAAACCGGCTCATTTTCTTCACCAACCTTCCTGGCCTCCCAGGGCACAGGGGGTCACGATTTAAGCCTTGGCTGGGCATCCAAATCCCCTGGGTATCCAGACTCCTTGACTCAACCCTCAACACGCATTTAACTCCCTGACGTGGAGCCAGGCGCGGCGGCTTTAACATTGTGCCAGGATAGAGACCCACTCGTTTAAGAGACGCGGGCTGTGAATGGTGACTCTACGGGCCTGCGGGCTGCCCAGCCAGAGGGGCCGCCAACAGCCCTGGGGCTCATTGTGGGACTGGAAAATAACAGCAAAGATAGCAAACTCCCTCAGCGGCCCCGGGTTGGGGGGGGGACAAGGGGGGGTAAGGGAGTTCCCTCACTCGCCCCACGGTGGATGGGAAATAAGGAACATGAAATCATTTATGTGGAAGTGAACTTTGAAAACATTATTTTGACTATTATAAAATAATATGAGGGGCGCCTGGGTGGCTCAGTCGGTTAAACGTCTGCCTTCGGCTCAGGTCACAATCTAGGGGTCTTGGGATCGAGCTCCGCATCGGGCTCCCTGCTCAGTGGGGAGTCTGTTTCTCCCTCTCCCTCTGCTTCCCCCTCCCCCCGCTTGTGTGTGCACTCTCTCTCAAATAAATAAATATTTTTTAAAAAAGAATATTAGATTCTACACTTTTTTGTGGCCTTTTCTCTTTTGATGGGAGTGTTTTGTAAACTGTAGATGCTGCACAAAATGCAGAACTACTACCGTCAGGGATTGAGGACCAGCAGCGGGGAACGTAAACTGGAATCCCACTGGCCCCATAAAGCCCCTCTGTGGCGGGCAGCCCCCCACTACCGGCCCACCCCATTCTGCACGCAACCGAGCCTACAGAAAGGGTTGGGCCTGGGTGGGGGCCACAAATCACTCCTCCCCCAGATTCCTGGAAGCCCCTGCAGCTCACGAGGCTTCTCCTCTCGTCTGGTCTTTATGACAGCCCTGCCAGAGCCGTCTGTCCCTCGTCATGGGCTAGAAAACAAGGGCTCAGGGGGCCACGTGCCCCGCTGAGTCTGTGGCTAGTAAGTGGATGAGCAGTACTCCCACTACTCCATCTTCTGTGACCCCGAACAGGACCCCCGCCCTACAAGGAATATAGGATGGGAACACTGTTCATCCCAGCTCCTCTCCAGGGGTCCACTGGGCCCACAGCCCTCCTGTAGCTCTCACTTGGATATTGGGGTTTGGGGCACTCAAGTCTGTGTTGGCCAATCCTGGCAGCTTCTGCAGCTCAAGCAGCAAGGGAGTGTCCTCCAGGGTCCTGGGAGGGGCCGCCCTGTCTGGGCTCAAGGCTGCTGGCTCACTGAGAGCCCGGCACCTATGACGGCATGGCCCTGCCTGAAGGCGTTCTGGGGAGCAGTGGGTTCCCCTCTTCTTCCCTAGGAGAGCTGGGATCTGGGAAGGCTGATACCTGAAGGAGAGAGAGGGGGAGGGAGGGGTGATTGGGATCAGGGCTTGCCCCAAGTGGACTTAAAGAGGGGGATTCAGGAGCCCTGGGGTCTGTCCACGTCACAACTACCCGCCTCCCCCGTGTGACTATGTATCCGAACATACCTGCTTCACCACCTCAGAGGGTGAGTGAGGCCATGTCCACAGACTGTTTGGACAGATGGTGCCCACATGAGGCATGATGGGGCTAAATCAGGTTTTTACACATGGAAGAGACACAAGCCAACCTCCTCATTTCACAGATGAAGAAAACTGAGGTCTAGAGAGGGAAGCATGTGTTTCCAAATGCAGTTAGCAGACCACATGCTCTTGCCTGGGAAACAGACAGCGGGCCTCCCAAGTCAGGGCAGCAAGGCCCAGAAAGGCCCACAGGGAAGTGAGGGCAAAACCTCGGCCCTCCCCCAGCAGGCTCCCCGGCCACTGGCCCTCCCAAGCCGTCCAGGTGGGGGCTGTATTCCTTAGCATCCCTGACCACTGCTACCTTCCTTCCTCCAACTGCCCACCTGGGGCCCATTCCAGGGGCTGGTACGGCTGTCTGTCTGCCAGTTAATTCCCTCCACCGGCCAGTGCCCCTGGGGGGTCCACACCCGGACTGTCCCTGCTTCTGCTCAGATAGTAAGTGAAAGACCCTGGTTGTCTCTGACTCCAGCTGCAGCCCTCACCTGCTCAGACAGTGGGACACTAGGGTGGCCGTCCACCTACTTGCAGGCTGCAGCCATTACTCAGGTCTCCACAACAGGACGGAAAGAGCACTGTCCAGAGCTGCCTTTATGAGCCTCAGGGGCTGGGAGCCTGTGGATTCTGCCCCGACTCAGTCCACAGCCTTGACCCCATCTCCCACCACCTACCTGAAACGGTGTGAAAAAACACAGGTCTGGACGGTCAGATCAGCTTGGGTTCAAATCCCAGCTCAGCCTCTTACTAGCTCATTCAACTTGATCTGCAAAATGAGGATAATTTCTACCTGGAAGGATTGTCAGAATTTTATTTATCAAACATCTCCCCAGCATCTGTGTGCCAGGCACTTTTCTAAATACTTAATCTCTCATGTCATCCTCCCAACAACCCTCAGAGGTAGGTGCTAGCTATCATCCCCATGGAAATGGACAATGGAAGCTGAAGCACAGAGAGGGCAAGCAACTTGCCCAAGGTCACACAGATATTTAGTGGCAGAGCCAGGATTTGAACCAGACAGCCTGGGCCCAGAGCCCACACTCTTCTTCTTCTTTTTTTTTTTAAATTTTATTTTTAAGTAATCTCTACACCCAACGTGGGGCTCGAACCCACAACCCTGAGATCAAGAGTCACACGCTCCACCAACTGAGCCGGCCAGGCGCCCCAGAGCCCATACTGCTAACTGTTATGCTCGGACACTACAGGCAAGAGTGTGGAGAGTCTACTTCATAAATCAGAGGCTTACTCAGTCTAGTGTCTCACTATGACTTTCTTTCCTTGGGTTGGAAAAGAGAATCAGAACCTTCGGTCTCTCCCCTTTTGCCCCTCCCTGCAGGGGTCCGCAGACACCCGGCTCCAAGGCTCCTGCATTAATCACTGTGGGAGCACAGTGGGAGCCTGGCCCTGGAGTTGGCAGCCGAGTCAAAGGGCTCTGGTCTGGACAGCCAGGCTGGACGAGCAGAGACTGACAGCTGAGTAACAGAGCAACTCAGCCCCTTCGCTGACCAGTCCCGGAGGCCTGGCACATCCCCAGGGGCGGCCTTCCTGGCAGCTCCCAGCCACAAGGCCACCAAAGCCCTAACTGTCCCTGTGACGTGGCTCAGCGGCTCCCCTGTCTGCGGCCTCCGGGGCCCAGGGACAGACAGTCTCAGGACAGCAGGACCTCAGGGTCTGCTGCCTCTCTGGCTGATGCAGAGGTCCCTGCCTCGCGAGCAGATAGTTAGGCAGTGGTTCTCAGTTGTTCTCAGTGGTTCTCAAATGAGGACATTTGGTCAGGTCTGGAGACATTTGTGGTTGTCGCAATTGCAGAGGGGTGCTACTGGCACCTTGTGGGTGAGGCTAGAGATCCTACGACACACAGGACAGCCCTCGTACAAATCATCCAGCCCAGAATGTCAACTATGCTGCGGTTAAGAAGCCCTGCCCTCGGGGCACCTGGCTGGCTCAGTCCGTAGAGCATGTGACTCTTGATCTCGGGGTCATGAGTTTGAATCCCACACTGGGTGTAGAGATTACTTAAATACATACATACATACATACATAAACTTAAAAAAAAAGAAAAAAAGAAACTCTGCTTAAAGTCAGGCCACTTAGGTCTGAATCCCTAGATAGCCTGGCTTCTGACCTGTGGGACCCTGACAGGGGACATATCCTCTGTGAGCATCCTTATCTGTAAAATGGGGAACAGTGATGGGAAAGAGCTGGTATCCAGCAGGTGCTCGGAAGGCGCATTTCCAGCCCTCTTCAACCTCTCCACTCCGGGTGCCCAGGTGGACCAGGTGATGAGCAGAGGCCTTAGAAAACCCCAGCTAAACATCCCAGGCACACATGCCACCCTTCTCTGGAGCTGCTCTCAGGGCCCCTTGCCCCGTGTTTCAGGCCCCAGGGAACCCCAGGAGTGGAGTGGAGGGGGGACACCCGTCTTAGTTTGTTCCTTCAGAAGCCAACCCTGACACGAGAATTCGAGGGCAAGTCATTCCTTTGGAAGGTGATCCCAGGAGACAGGAGCAGGGAGAGGGGGCGTGAGTCAGGGACGGGAATCAGCTAATATAGAACGCTCCCAGGTTAGTGACCCCGGGGGGCAAGTGGGGCTCAGTCCCATTGGGTGTCTCAGCTTCTCCCCCAGAAGCGGGGGGCTGGGCTACGTACCTACAAGCCCCGCCGGTCACTGGTTGAGGGCTGCCAGGGGGAGGAGAGGATTTGCTCCCTGGGCGCCTCAGGCTGGCCGTGACAGCTCAGAGCAGGCCCTAGTGGCAGCGACAGCCGTCCGGTGGCTAGATACCAGCAAGTGGAAGAAAGGGCTGCAGAAATCCGGGTAGAGCCCTCCGCGCCTTGCCCCGCCAGTGCTGTGAGCACATCTTCCCTCCCGAGCCTGGGCCAGGCCCTTTAGGTGCCTCTGTCACCCCGGCTAGACTGCAGGCAGGACTTCAAGTCCACTTCGTTCCTGCTGCAGCCTGCGCCTAGCACAGTGCCTGGCACACAGCAGGAGCTCAATCAATCACTGTTGAGTGACAGAACGAACACTAGCAACCCCGAGGGCTGAATGTGACCCTGTGTTAATGATGAGCCTACGGAGGCTCAGGCGGGGTCAGGGATTGACGGGAGGTCACCAAGGTTACCGTATTGCGCCTGGGTTCAAACTCAGCTCTGGCTGATCTTAACGCCCATGCCTGGGTGCACACACACGTGTGTGGACACTCACGACAACCTCCACGAGCAACCACCTCTGGATTCACAAAGCACTTCCGCTTTTGTCATCCTGCTGGCCGCCAAATGGATGGTAACAGGGGAGGGCGGGAGTCCACCCGGCCCGGGTTCCAATCCCAACGTGTGCACTTCCGAGCTGTGTGACCGTGGGCAGGTTAACTAAATTGGCCTTAAACTCAGCCTCCATAAATTAAGGAAACAGCAGTCTCTGTCTTGTGTGGTTGCTGAGTTAGAAGGAGGGCTGCCTCACACATGGCCAGTGTGCAGTGAACCTTACCTAGAGGTGGTGACAGATGGTTGAGAGAGAGAGAGACCCCGTCACCAGGCACCGTTAGTTCTTTACATCTTGGTTGGTCTGAAGTCCCCAGCACCACCACTGACGTGGGAACTCTGGGGGGCGTATTCCCGTGGCCTGAGTTCTGAGGCTCCAGCCCCTTTAAGAACACCTGTCCTATCCCATGGGACCGCCGCTCCCATCTGTTAGCCTCGCAAGTGGAGTTTCGCACAGGCACAAATACCCAAGTCCGTTCTTTGGGGGAATGGTGTCAACGCCCAGACAGACATGAGATATGTAGATATATACCAAGATCTATGCCCCCCCCCACACGTGCATCCTCCCAGGCTTGGCCAGGCAGCCCTTGACCCACGTGCTTCCAGTCAACAGAAAAGCCCTTCCTGCACCGCATGAGCCTGCCCGCTAAGCTGCTTCAGCCCCCTCAGTTCACCCCGGCCTCCCTTCCCTCTGCCGCAGGGCTCAGGAACTTGCTCTGGATAATGAACCCGGCGGCCAGGTGCAGCCCGGCGCCCCCCTCCCCCCAGCCCCAGCAGTCCACGCCCATGCATACAGAGCCAGGCCTCTCACGCGGTCACCTTGGCCTCCCAGGAAGGGCCGGAGACCTAGGGCTCAACGGCACCTGCCTCTTCAGCCAGGCCAGAGGACCCCAGGCAGAGGAGGGCGCTGGACTTCACCCTCCAGCCCTCCCGGCCCCCAGCTGAGACCTCAGAGCTCCTCGTTCTCATGAGAGTACTAGTGATGGGGCTGGCTGCATGCTGGGTGCCCTGTGTCCTCGCACAGGCTGGGCATCTGACTGACCCCTCTGAGAGGCCCCACCTTCTCATTCTGCACTGCGCCCCCCCAACTACGTAATCAGTGTTGCCAAGCATGCTCACTGAATTCTCATGCCCCTTGGGGCAGGTGCTCGCGTCCTCCTCACTTCAAAGACGAGGCAGCCGAGGATCAGACAGGTGAGGTAATTTGGCTGGGGTCACCCAGGGGGCTGGCGGAACAAGACTCGAGGCAGATGGTCTGGCTGGAGGGGCTGTGCCTTAGCCCTTGTGCTTTGCCAACTCCGAGCAAGGGCTGTACCTTCTGGTTTGCGGACCGCCGCTCAGGTGCAGAGTGTGCCGAATGACCGAAACACTAGAGCAGGATATTCTGCTTCTCACAACCATCTTTCCGTTTGATCTTCGCAACAACCCAGTGAGAGGCAAAGGGAAGGAACGAGATAGGGAGACCGAGAGCCAGTGAGGCGAGGACTTGCCTGGGACGACCAAGCAGCCCAGCCTCCTGGCCCCCGTTCCTATACTTCCCTTTCTTCCTCAACCAGCTCTCCAGTAGTTCCAAATTCTGAGCAGGAAGAATGGTCTGGAGGGAGAGTGATGGTCACAGTCAAGGTCCAAGGAGGTAGACAGCTGCCAGGGGAGGCTGGGGGCGAAGCCACAGGCTTGGCATCACACACGCCCGCGTGATCCTCACTCACTGACTGGGCTAGGAAGTGGGCACACCCTAACCAAAGAAAACCGACCTGTAGGAATATATCTGCTTCTTGGTGCCCCGGCCTGGCAGCTGAGACCTTTCCACCCATCACGCCCCTCCTGCACTCCAGCCCTTGATGCCAGTCACCTGGCTGGATGACGCCCAGGACCGAAGCGCTGACTAAGCACCCCGGCCATATGTGTGACGCTGCCCCAGGCCCGCAGGCTCCTTCCTCTGGGCCTGAGCTCTTCACTCTCAGCCCGCCCCCTCACGCGTGCATCCTTCCGTGGGGATTGCATCCCTGTTGCTACAGCAGGAGAGCCTGCAGCTCCGCCCCATGGGGGACCCTTCCTGCGGGGCAGTCCGGGCAGCCTGGAATGCTGTCCCCTCCCTCCTCTCTCTCCCCTAGTTCTCATCTCCATCACCCTCTTGTGGCCCCAGGTCCTCAACTCTTTCCCCCACCCCCAGGTCTTCCCTTGCCTGCCCAGGAGGCGGGGGTGCCAGGGCGAGGTGTCCAGGGGTCCCGGAGTTAAGCCAAGCTGGGTTTCAATCCAGCTGCAGAACCCTGGGTTAGTTATTAGACCCACTGTCTGTTTCCTCATCCCTAAAACGAGGAAAATAAGACAAGGAACACAAAATGCTAGGCTGTGGCTGTTTGGGTGGTGTTCTGATCCTAACTAGAGCAGAGCTCTGTCATTCCTTGCCCATCTAGCACCCACCAAATCCTTGTAACGACGATGCCACACACGTGCACCGTGCTTTCTCACCCAGCAGGCCAGCCGACAGAATGGGCTCTCTTACTCCCATTTGATTGTGGGGGTAAACTGAGGCTCAGCAACAGGCCTGCCCAGAGAGAGGGTGGCACATTTTGTTCCTGATGCTGATGATTTCAAGACTTTTCAAGACTTCAGATGAGCAGGCTGGGGTATGTCAGGCAAAGATGGACCACAAGGTCACTGGTATAGCTCTTGAAATGACAGCCCTGGCTCCCAAGCTCAGTTAGGCTTACCGGCTCAGTGCCTTGATATTTCCTTCTGGAAAATGGGAATAACACCCATGTGCGACAATGAAATAACATCGCATAAAGTACTTCGCACAGACTCTGCAAGGCCCAGAGGAGGCTTACTTTCCCTCAGTCATCCTGTACCTTTAGATTGCGGGGGCGGGGGGGGCTTATGTTCTTCAGCTTCTTCAAAGTCTTTGGAGTTGTCAGTTATTTCTGACATATCACCTAAGGCCCTAGAATAGCACTCTGCCTTATCTCAACAGGATTTCTTAGCTAACACCTTGACGTGGAACAGCTTTAACACACATCACCCAGACTTATGAAGCAATGTTTGAGCTAGACGGGATCACGGAGATGACTTAGTCCCTCATTTTAAATGTCAGGAAATCATCCAAGGTGAGTCATACATGAGTTAATGACCCACTGGGACCAGAACCCCAGGCCCTGGGATCCAAGCTCTGTTTTTCCTTCATGGCACTAATTTGCTTTAACATGTTTTTGAGGGTTCTGCCAGGCCCTATGCTAGGGCTGGGAATATGACTTTGGCTCTGAAATAACTCATCCTCTAGGTTAGTCTTGGAAGATCTGGCAAACATATAAAAAATAATCACAATACAAAGCAGCAAGTACTAAAATAGAAAATATGTCAAATGAGTAGGGGGAAAAATGTCAATTCAATTAATTGTATGACCACTGTCATCTCCACTTAGGAGGTGGGACTGGCCAGAGGCTGTTCAGTTCCTCTGGATTTGTCTATAGCAGTGGTTGCCAACAATGGTGAGGGGGAGGGGTGTCCCTCAGGAAACACTGGGCAATGTCTGTCTCTGTCCAGGAGTGGGTGCTACAGGCATCTAGTGGGTCAAGGCCAGGGATGCTGCTAAATATGCTACAAAGAATTATACAACCCAAAATGACAGGAGTGTGGAGGTTTAGAGGCTCTGGTCTATAGGATGTACTCTCAACAAGGGGCAAAAATTGGACATCAGGGGCAAAAAATCTTGGATATTACAATGGTTTGTAACACACCAAAGTGGCATAGTACATAGACAACATATTTATGGTATTAAAATTTCAGTGGGAGAAGCATTTAGTGGGAAAAATATCTAAAAGTCTCCTTAGGAGGGCAGCATTAAAAAAAAAAAAAGGTGGATAAATACCAGTCCACAGAGACCCCAAGTACCAGGCCCTTGCTTCCCACGGCGTCTGGAGGGCCTCAACAGCCTAGGCACTACTAGCCCCCAAGCTGGGGAACCACTCCCCCACCAGTTTCCTGCACCCCGCTGGGCCTCTCGGTGTCCTCATACAGAAAATGGGAAGAACTACTCTGTCCTCCTCCTAGAATAGCTCAGTGCATGGGAGGAGCCAGGACCCCCTGCCACACCAGTCTGCATTCCCTGGAACAAGTCTGGAGGGTTTTGTCCCCATGGGATGAGTGTCCACTGCTGTCCACGGAGGAACGGCTGGACGGCTGACCCCTTGTGCAAGGAGGCAGGTTTTGACAAACCGTGGTTCCTCTACACGTCTAAAGCACTTTTTTTCAACCCGCTCCTGTTTTCAGTCGCACCCCCAAAGCCCACTCACAGGCCACCCAGAAAGTGCCCGCCGCCCATCAGGTCTTAGAGACCTCTTCTGCTCTTCCAAGTGCGTAGTAATATCAAGGTCCCTGGCTGATCTGACTCCCCTGCAAGTTGAAAGACGCCACTCACTACCTCATCTCATCTCAATTCACACCCAAAGGGACTCAAATGCTTTGCAGGTCTGATTTGAGGCTGCACCGGCCGGTTATTCGGCCGGTCCAATCTCCGCAGCTCCGCGCAGCGCCGCGTTCGGCTCCCACCATCCCGGCCCCTCTTGGAGCCGCCCCTGGAGTGGGGCGGCGTGGGGGAGGGTCTGCAGGAGAGTTTCGCTCAGAGCCAGGCAGCCGCCGGCGGGACAGGCCGGGCTGTCCCGCGGGGTCCGCGCCCCGCGCTCAGCCCAGAAGTGGAGTCTCTCCCCCGCTGGCCCGCCGCCCGGCCGGGACGGAGGCTCCTGCAGGTCCGGCGCACCTGGCCCCCGCCCCGCGCCCGCCCTCGGAGGTCGCCGCTCGCGCCCCGGCCCCGCCGCTCACCTCCGCCAGCCTCGCGGGGCTTCGGGGCCGCGGCTTCCTCAGGGGGAGCGCCCGGTTCGCGGCCAGCAGCGCCGCCAGCAGCACCACGCCGAGGAGGAGCCCCGCGCTGCCGGGCAGTCGAGCCATCGTCTCCCTCCCGGCGCTGCTCCGCGCCGCGCCTCCCGAGCGGCTCCCGCGCGTCCCTTCGCGCCCGGCCTCGCCTCCTCCAGGGCCGGGAGCGCGCGGGGCTCGGCGCGGGAGGCGGGGGTGGGGGGGGAGACAGGCGGCCGCGGGGGCGCGCGGGGCGGGGGGCGCCGCGCCTTTCTCGGGTCAGCGCCCGGGACGTCCTCCGCGCTTCCCGGAGGGGCGGCTCCTCGGCGCGCCCAGACAGTCTCGGCCGGGCGGGCGGCTCCCTTTGATCTGGCCGCCTCCCCGCCCTGTGTCCCCGCCGCTGTCGCCGTCGTAGCCGCAAGCGAATTCCTGGCCGGGGGACGTCGCAGAGGCCGGCTCGCTCCAGCCCCGCGCTGCCGCTCCCGCGGGTCGCCCTGCCGGCGGGCGCGCCGACGGCGCAGGGACACTCGGACCGCCGAGGTCCGGCGGGCGGGGGACGCGCCGCACCCCGCGCGGGAGCCCTCAGCTCTTGGGCTTGTACCTCGAGGTAGGTTTGCTCGGGGAGGGAGGCCAGGAAGTCACCCCCACAAGGCTCCTCCAGCTCCTCTGCTGGAGGTGGAGCCCAGAGAAACACCTGCCACCGTGCGCCCGATTTCCTCAGGATGTTCTCAGAGCACGTCAAAAAACCAGAGAGGCTTGAGACTCAGATGTGATCATAAAGTCCCAGAAGGACAGCAAACGGCTGGACACGTGTGAGGTCGTGGTCAGAAGATCGTGCCCTGCCACTGGGTGTCACCTAGTTTTATCCTGGGTAAAACAATGGGACCACCCACTCCCTCTAGCGAGACCTTCATGCGGGGAATCCTCACATGTAGGGTACGCAGGTCATGAAATAAAAGCTCGGCTCATGATAAATATCAAGAAGTCCGAGGAGAGTGACAATTTTTGTGGCCTGATGGGGATTGTAAGCACAGTGAGACAAGGCAGGTGGGGGGCGGGGCAGGACTGGAGGGTTGGGGTTTGGACAGGTCAGTGAGGAGCAGTCAGAAGACACTAGGAGGGTGGCCACTCAGGGGCCACAAAGGCTGCCTAGGTTCAGGGCAGGGATAACAAATCCCTGGGGGTGCTGGGGAGGATGGCCAGGAAACCCACCATAGGGGTAAAACCTGGGATCTGGGTTTAGCCAAAGTGAAACTCTTAGGGGACTGAGCACAGTGGAGAGAAACCACTACTATCCGCAACAGCACAGCCCAGTACTCGCCAGTGTTTGGTGCATCACAGGGATTACAACCTGGGCCTGGAGTTGGCCACAGTGGTTTGAATCCTGCTTCTACCATTTATTAATAAATTATCATTGGACAAGGTCTTTGACCTCTTGGTGCTTTCGTCGTTTATAAAAGTGTGTGTGGGTGGGGGAGTACTGACCTTGCAGATGTAAGGAGTAAATAAGAATCTGTGTTAAAGATTTTCATTAGGATGAAGTTGCCATTTTTTGGTCAAAAGGGTCAAACATTGGCAATTTCATGTGTTTCAACCTAATAAGATGCTTGGTACACGGTAAACACTCAAATGTTAGCCAAAAGAAACTGGCCTTTGAGCACCTGCTACACCGTATGGCTTTTTCTAGACGAAAGGTGAGGCTACCTTGTTCTTTATTTTTTAGGATTTCTTTTTCACACCCAACCTATTTTGTCTTTTCGTCAAACTTCTGTACCTTCCACCAGATCAAAGTTAGAGCTCAAGTTCATTCCTCTGGATGGACCCGTCTCTGAGTCAGTCACTACAGCTGCGCTCCAAGCCCTTCTCCAGGCCCACCCCCCACCCCCCCTTCCCTAGACAGCTGTCCTAGCCTCCTGACTGGTCCTGCTAGATCCACTCTTGTTCTCACTGCCTCCTCACCAGTGCTGTTCGTTGTCTTCACTGGAAAACAACGCATGGTCTGATACAGCCTTCTGAGTTAATCTGATTCTAGTCTTTCATTCTTTGAGCTACTTTACAACTCTGTAGGTTGTAGGTAAGAATAGTCAAATCATTCTTGTCTACAGAAATGCAAATTGTGTCCTGCCCTCCAGAGGCTCATTTGACCTCCCAAAGTGAAAGCAACCAGTTTTGCCTTCATTTGCACATTCATTTCAATATTCTTGTTCTAGAAATTTTGTTTTTCAGTATCTCCTTTGATTGCTTGTCATATCCTTACCAGTTTACTCATTCAGGAGTTAAATAAAATCTTTAACTTGTGTTCATTTTTTTTGAAGATTTTTCTTTATTTTTTTTATTTATTCATGAGAGACAGAGAGAGAGAGAGAGAAAGGCAGAGGGAGAAGCAGGCTCCCAAGGAGCAGGGAGCCCGATGCGGGACTCGATCCCAGGACCCCAGGATCATGACCTGAGCCGAAGGCAGACGCTTAACCATCTGAGCCACCCAGGCGCCCACTCATGTTCATTTTTATATCTGTAAGGGAATCAGGATTTTTTTTGAGAATGACCTTCTAACAGTCTTGCTGTACCGTTAATTCCTACCTCCCCAATCTTGGCTCACAGCAACCACTTGTCCACTCTGTCACGATAGGTTAGTTTTGCCTTTCTAGACTTTTGTATTAATAGAATCATATTTATGTATTCTTTTGTGTTTGGCTTTTTTATTTGAGCATGTTTCTAAGATTCATCCATATAGTTGTAGGTATCAGCCATTGTTCCTTCTCACTGCTGAGTAGTATTCAATCACATGAACATACTACAATTTGATTATCCATTCACAATGCTGGCATTTAGATTGTTTCTAGTTTGGGGCTATTATGAATTAAAGCAGCTGTGAATATTCAAGCGCAAGCGTGCGCATGCTTTCACTTCTCTTAGACGAATGAAATTGCTGCCCCAAAACTGCTGAACTGTTTTCTCAAATGGCTGTGCACTTTGCATTCCCACATCTTTGCCAACACTTGGTTTTGTAACTTTTTTTGAACTTAGCCATTCTAGTGGGTGGGTGAGTGGTGGAATCTTATTATAGTTTTAATTTGCATTTCCCTGATGACCAGAGATGTTGAACATTTTTCCATGTGCTTTTTTGTTCATTAGTGTATCTCCCTTTGTGATGAGTCTGTTCAAATCTTTTGGGGCACCTGGCTGGCTCAGTTGGTAGAGCACCCAACTCTTGATTGAACGGTTGTGAATTCAAGCCCCATATTGGGTGTAGAGATTACTTAAAAAATAAAATCTTTAGGGACGCTGGGTGGCTCAGTCGGTTAAGCGTCTGACTCTTGGTTTTGGCTTAGGTCGTGATCTCAGGGTCCCACATCAGGCTCTCTGCTGAGCGGAGAGTTGGCTTGTACCTCTCCCTCCCCTCTGCTCCTCACCTGGCATGCCTGTGCATGTGTGCTCTCTCAAATAGATAAAATCTTTTAAAAAATAAAAAAAATCTTTAAAAAAAACTTTTATTTATTTACTTGAGAGAGTGAGCATGAGCGGAGGCGGGGGGGGAGGGGCCGAGGAAAAGGGAGCAGACTCCCTGCTGAGCAGGAGCCCGATGCAGGACTCAATCCCAGGACCCTGAGATCTTTTTTTTTTTTTTTTTTAAAGATTTTATTTATTTATTCATGAGAGAGAGAGAGGCAGAGGGAGAAGCAGGCTCCCAAGGAGCAGGGAGCCCGATGCGGGACTCGATCCCAGGACTCCGGGATCACGACCTGAGCCGAAGGCAGACGCTTAACCATCTGAGCCACCCAGGCGCCCTGGACCCTGAGATCTTGACCTGAGCTGAAGGCAGACGCTTAACTGACAACCACCTAGGTGCCCCTCCCCAAAATAAAATCTTTTTAAAAAAGTGTTCAAACCTTTTCCGTATTTTTTATTTTTCTTAAAGATACTATTTATTTAACAGAGAGACACACAGCGAGAGAGGGAACACAAGCAGGGGGAGTGGGAGAGGGAGAAGCAGACTCCCTGCAGAGCAGGGAGCCTGATGTGGGGCTCGATCCCAGGACCCCAGGGTCATGACCTGAGCCGAAGGCAGATGCTTAATGACTGAGCCACCCAGGCGCCCCTTCCCTATTTTTTAGTGAATAGTCTTGCCTTATTGAGTTTTAAGGGTTCTTTCTATACTCTGGATGGAAAGCCTTTGTTAGATATATACTGTGGATGTATTATCCTAGTCTGGAGTTTGCATTTTCCTTTTATCAAGGCTTAAAGTTTTCATTTTGGTGAAGTACAGTTTATCAATATTTTTGAGCCATGCTTTTTTGTGTTCTAAGAAATTGTTGCCTAATCCAGAGAACCAGATTTGCTTTTATATTTTCTCTTGGAAGTTTTATAGTTTTGATGTTCAGATCTATGGTTTAATTATTGTATATGATGTGAGGTAAGGGTTAAAAGTCTTTTCCCCTAGATATTCAGTTCCAGCACCATTAGCTGACTAACTGTACTTTTCCAGTTGAATTAACTTGGCACTTTTGTCGAAAATCAACTACCCATATATGTGTGGGTCTATTTCTGGACTTTTAATTTTTATTCTATTTTTTTTAAAGATTTATTTATTTGAGAGAGCATGAGCAGGGGGAGCAGCACAGGGAGAGGGAGAAGCAAGCTCCCCGCGGAGCAGGGAGCCCGATGTGGGGCTCGATCCCAGGACCCTGAGATCATGACCTGAAGCCGAAGGCAGACGCTTAATGCCTGAGCCACCCAGGTGCCCCGTTATTCTAGTATGTTAACATACAGTGTTATGTTTGTTTCAGTGATTCAACAATTGTGTACATTTCTCGTAAATATGGAATGCTTCGTGAATTTGTGTTTCATCCTCGCGCAGGGGCCGTGCCTCTCTTCCCCGTATCACTCCAATTTTAGTGTAAGTGCTGCTGAAGCGAACACTATCTCTGGACTTTCTGTGGTGTCTTATTTGTTCTCTCTGACCATTCTAATGCCAAATGCAGTCTTGGTTAGTATAGCTCTGTAAAAAGCTTTGAAATCAGGTAGTACAACTTCTTTTTCAAAATGGTTTTGGCTAGTCTAGGTCCTTTGCATGTCCATATACATTTTACCAACTTGCCAATGTCTACCAAAAGAGCACACTAGGGATCTTTTTCTTTTTCTTTCTTTTTTTTTTTTTAATTTTTTTATTGTTATGTTAATCACCATATATTACATCATTAGTTTTTGACGCAGTGTTCCATGATTCATTGTTTGTTCATAACACCCAGTGCACCATGCAAAACGTGCCCTCCTCAATACCCATCACCAGGCTAACCCATCCCCCCACCCCCCTACCCTCTAGAACCCTCAGTTTTTCAGAGTCCATCATCTCTCATGGTTCGTCTCCCCCTCTGACATACTCCCCTTTTCTTCCTCTCCTGTTATCTTCTTCTTTTCCTTTTTTCTTAAAATATGTTGCGTTATTTGTTTCTAGGGATCTTTTTCAATGCTCGCAAACCTTCCTTAGTTTCCCCCAATGTGTAAGATCACTGCTCACCCCTGACAGCCCAGCGCAGCAAACTTCTGCCCCCTCCTCGCCAGCCCGCTTTGTCATCCTTCCCTTTGCTCCTGGAGCATTGGATCCTCCGTGCCTTAGAAAAGTCTTCTCTGTCACCTCTAAACCACATACTGGTTACATGTTTCTATCATGCTCTTTACTTTTCCTTCACAGCACTTACCAGTTTGTAAAATGATGTGTCCATATGCTTACTTGTTTACTATTTGTTTGCTGCTGGTATTGGTCATACTCAGTGCAGTGCCTAGCATGGAAACAGTACTCAGTATTTATTGGTTCAATGAGTAAAGGCAGAGACAGCTTTCTGAATAGTTTATTTGGGCAAAACAATATATTTGCATGGGATGACTCTTACGTCATCTCAAGTAGTTCCCCTCCGGTTCTTAACAAATGCTTTCAAACGGATACACTTAACCCAACCCATCATTTAGAGCTTCACAGTCATCCAACAAGGTTAAAAAAAAAATCATCTGGCAAAAACGGGAGACGGGGGTAAGAGAGAAAGAGAGAAGCATGACATTTTAACACATTACTAGAATTTAAAATTTTTTATTTATATTTCCCCCTCCCACTCTCTCAGATTATATAAGCAACACAGCAATGGAGAGGGATTATCACAGCACCTCTTGCAAAGTCCAGTTTACAGGCAAATTGGTCAATGGAAAAATAAAGGCCAACAAAAGAAGATCTCAGCTCCCCATAAGTGATTTCTCTATTCCTATTCTCTTTCCCCCTTCCCTTCACGTTTGCTGCCTTTATACAGAGAGGGCTCATCAAGACTGTGTGGGCATGCTGGCTGACCTGCACGGTGATCTCACCAGTATCCTGTGAAGAACCATCAAGGATGCTTTTTATCATTCCAACCATTGGTTTAACATCACTGAGGTAACATGACCTATCTACCCCACTCAGGAATACGTCCCACATCCCCATAGAAGGCCTGCCCCGACCCACCAAGCTTTGCACAAGAAACCTGAAAACTGTGGGGAAAAGCAGACTCTGAACTGACTCAAGCCTCCTGGCGCAGGGAGGGATCCACTTACCCACAGAGATGGCAACAAGGAAGGACACTGAGCACATCTGGGTGGTGCTCTCGTCTTTACCTTGCATTCACCTTCCCCACAACTTCTCCAAAAGAACAGAGGTTTGGGCATTGCTTCATCAAAAACGTATAACCACAGTTTAAGAACCATTGCATTCTTTAGGGTCAGTGTATTAGAACTCATCATACCACAAAGAGTCACAGTTCAAGGCCATCTATCGTGTGTACTATGTAGTAAACAAGACCTTGCCCACGGCTCCCCCATCAAGCCACTCCCAAGGGCGGACTGGGTATATCTCCAGACTCACGAGAAGACTAGAATAATAAACAACTTCAGCAAGTCCGCAAGCTAAGTCCTTTGGGTCCCCCGTCTAAAAAAGAATCTATAGCAAAAGGTCCTTGGAAAACAGAAGTCACTGGAAATGACAAAAGGGGCAACATTTTCCATACAATTAAAAGCAAAAGGATCATTGGCTCATCCTAGCATTTCTTCTGTATTAAGGCAGGAAGCCAGCCTTCTAATTAGGCTATCCGGGCACATGGTCATTGGGTAGGAGCCTAAACACTACATTTCCTGTGGATAAATCTGAGGAGAAAAGAAGATACGCTTTTTGCCACGTGGAAGGTATTTTGATTAACTGGCTTAATGGATTAAGATGCCTGCTGGCTGGGCACTGAGCTTCCATGTTAAGCAGGTAGCAGCAGATCTTTAGGTTCTGGGGCTGCATTTAAGCAAGTAGCTGCTCAAAAGCCAAGAAGAATCATTTGATTCTCATAACTTCCCCTTGACGACCCCCTTGGGCTATGCTGGGTTTACCTGTGTGAAAGGCTCAATAGTTCTGATTTTCATGAAGACAGACATTCAGAAGGAAAGGCCCCCACGCTCCTCCCCCTTTGCTGACCACATGAGTTGCAGCCAGAAGAGATGAAAGTCCATCTTGGCTTACCTCGACCACCAGGAAAGGAAAGACACTCTGGGAATTAGGTCACAGCAGTTCTCAATACAAGAGAACCTGAAGCCAGTCAGTTGTATCTACAAATTCTTACAAAATAAGAATTATCCAAATTCTTTTTCTTCACTGCCTATGGCATGACTAGCAGTCCTGTGCTGCTTCCCAACCCGGGACGACTAGGGGCCAGAGAGCCTCATCAGTTTGGAAAGGGAGCAGGGCTGGGGGGAGAAACAGGTAGGTAGTGGTTGATAGCATTGCTTTTTTCCCCTTCCCTGAGAAGCCAGGAAGTCTCTCCATGTGAGCCGTTCTTCCTCCTGGTTTTCACTAACAGAAACGAAGCAAAGCCTATTAAACACTAAAAATTCAGTCAGACTGGACTAGCCGTAACAAACTTAGATACAGGCTCCCTCAAGTAGGGAAGAAAGAAGTCCCCTGACTTCTTCTGACATGTAAGGCTGAGTGTCCCAGGACAGGGTATCTGACCCAGCGATCCTCCAAGCACAGCACCAGCATTGAGTTTTTCTCTGGAGTTGACATTCTAAAACTCAAGAATGGGAAGATACAGAAAGGCCAAATGCAGGACAGAGGGATTGTAGAGACAAATCATTGGCACAATATTCCATTCCTGGGCTTCTGGAAGGGTGTTAAGCAAACGTAGCCGTCAGCCGTTGTTTGTTTTTTGATTAGTGTTCCAGGAGTCATTGTTTGCGGATAGCCCTCAGCCATTGCATAGGGTAGTTCTGTGCACCTTCCAGGACTGCTTCAGGAAGAAGCGTGTTTTGACCATCTAAAGTCCTCACCCTGTCGTGAAAGTTTAAGATAGTAACTATAGGACTAAGCTGCCAAGTTCTTCAAACAAGCAAGCAGGACTTTGGGGTTGGGGAGACTAAGATGATTTTTAACAGGAAGAAATTTTCCAGAGCAAAGCAAAAAGAGCAAGGACCCCGCCCCTGAACACACACTTTCACCATTTACTTACTGTAGAGTGTGTGCCATATTTTAGGGTAAAACTTTTAAAATAAAGGTGGGCGGAGAGTCTGCTACTGCCTCTTGATCCATTCTTTGTGATTCTGATGTCTCCTAGTTATAAATTTCCTGGTTTCTGATGTGATCAGCAGAAAAAGGTCTTATAAGCCTGAAATGGATAAAGGCAATGCTAAATAGAAAGAGGGATGAGAGAAAGTGGTAAGGATTTGTCATATCTCTATTGACTGACTCCGATGATCAACTTTGGTAGTAACTGTTGGCTGACACCTGTGTGCATCCCATCAGATTCGTGAGTCAGGCTGTGTTCAACCATGCACGAAACAATGCTTCAGTCTACTCCTTCCCAGTGACTATATTCGTATACGCCTGCATTTCCCCCAGTGCTTGGTTAAATAATGATACCTGTGATATGACTGGACTCTAGATTTCTATTACAGTTTCCAAGAAGAGACAACTAGTGTGTAAAACATTTTGTCTTCTAGAAAGCAGAGGTCCTGGGTGGATCACAGTTTTGTCTCTTCAAAATAAACTTGTAACTTAATTACATTTATTCTGACATAACTTTGCACTAGCAAAGTGATATATATTACATATATATATATATATATATAAATGTACTGAAATGCCCATACTGACATTTTAAATTGCAGTGACTTCATGCAAACCAAAGTAAAAAGAGTAGCAAGGTAAGTTCACTGCTTGAAGTTTGGGACTTTTGCAAACCCTACACCATTTGATAACTGACTGCAGTGCAAAAGCTATCTGGTGTTCTAGTGGGGTTCTACGATGAGGAACAAGATGTAAAGGTTAGCAATGTATTTTATTCTACAGGACTAGTGACTTAGTTACCACAATGTCTTTTTTTTACCTCAGTTTCTCCATGCTAAATACAGTCCCTGCATTTCTACTTGGTTCTTTCATTCACCCTTTTCTGTTCTTTAAAAAAGGAAAACAAAACCTTGGAATATTTCAAAGGCTGAAGGCTCTCAGATGCTGAGAGGGACCAAAGAGAACTTAAGACATGAAAACAAAGCTTCACCGACAATCCTGTTGCCCCCCATCCTCCACCACATGTGCCTGCATAAGCACCGCAGCTGATGCCAAGGGGCCCAGGAGAATTTCTACCAATACAAGGAGTGAGTTCAAAAATAGAGACGTGCAAAGCTACTTTCACACAGTGTTTTTCCATTCTGTTCCCAATCCTTCCCCCATATTACTTGATGGCTACTAAAAGACAAGCTGATCTTGGGCACAATAAAGTCAAAAGTTCTCTTCACTTAAGCTTTGGTGAACAGAAAAAAGAGCTTTAACATGGTGGTTTTCAGATTGGTTCTTTGGTCAAGCAGTTTAAAGCTCTCTGAAACTAGTCCCTTTACCTAGTACGAAAAGAGTCAAAATAGAGGATCCCAGTTTAGCGAAGAGATATGTGTTCAGAATTTCTTGGCCGGGGGGGGGGGGAGGGCAGGGGGAGAAAAGAAAAAAGAGACCCTAAACCCCAGATGCCAGACTAGAAGTGTCTTAGGACATTAAGAGTAAAGGAGAACTAGCACTCAGAAGAGTAATGTTTAAATGGGTCAGCTTCTAAAAAGGGTAAGTTAACTTTAATCCTTAAACAGGAACATGACAAATGATTTCTGAGCAGAGGATTTACCAACATTTTCTTTTATCAGTTTAAATCCTAATCTGGACCCAGACCCAGGCAGAGGCGCTGACAATTCTGAAAGGCAGAAAGCAGTAGGAACCAAGCATGGACGTTCTGCCAGGTCTGTGCCCGCGACCCCGGCCCCCGGGGCAACTGTGCGCACAGGACACACAGAGAGGCAGCAGGCGGCCTCACCACACGGGGCTGCCCCGGGCGGGGGGGGGGGGGGGGGGGGTGCTTTCTCAACAATGTAAGCATTTTAAATAGCAGGTGGGAGTGTTAGTTTACAGCTTAGGAAGGACCGAGAAATTGGACATACCCCTCAGACAGTGACCATCATCAATATCTGATGGTGAAAGAAGAAATCACCTGGTGACCAGAACAAGACCAAACTTTGGGAGGCTCCTGGCCAGGGGGAGTTACATGACGAGGGGCAGTTTTTAGCCATGTTAGTGTTTATGGTTTTCCTTAAACAGCTGAACCTCAGACCGAAAGGGAGACCACTTAGGTTGAATACTTGACTGGTTCAGTAAGGATTCCAAGGTTGGCGGCCTCTGAGACCTGGATTGGAAGTAAGCGGAAGGCACTTGCTCCCTGGGGAGAAGGGCTGGGTGAGTCTCGAAGCTGCAGTGCCGGGGCCAGCAGGAGCTTTGGATGGGCCAAGTCTGTAGGCGGCGGGGAGATGGTAACGGCCTGTGTGGTTAGCCGGAGCCAGGCTAGGGTCAGCGGGATTTCATAAGAAGAAGAGTTATAAAATAAAATATTTTTAATGGACAAAAAAGTAGAGTGAGGTCACCTCTTTTCTTAAAGGTGAAATGTAGCAAAGGAAGAATGTGAAGCAGTTTTTTTACTATTTACAAAATGCCATTTAGAACAAGGTGGCCACCGTCAGTAGTTGAGGAAATGTCTCTCGCGTGAGATGGCCACAGAAGTATGGTTCCTGGAACTGGCTCAGAAAGGCCACACACTGTCCTGGGGGAGGAAGAGTTCCTCCAAGGGAGCACCAAAAAGGCTCAGTCTTCTGTTTCTTCATAGGTAGTCTCGTCAAAGGGCCTGTCCAGTAGAGGCACCAACCGATGACGGGAATACTTGAGTTGCAACAGGTCCCCAACTTCATCTATCTCCTTTAAAGCCTAAAAATATATAAGAGTAGAGGTCATTCGGAGCCAGTAGGATGTGGGCATGCCTGGTGCTTTATGGTTCTAAAAACATTCATGGCAAGATTATCCTCTCGTGTGACCGTGTGCGTCTAGTGCATTAACTCTGATCAGACTATGGGACAGCTGTGGAGCGAGCCAGTTTTTGAGCAAGAACATCAGGCTGGTCATGAATAATAGGTTGTGAAGAGCAGTTATGTAGGATAAAGGGTAGAGCTCATCAAAGTATGCTATACTTAGGAGAAAAAGGAATATGCGCCCTGAACTTGCCAGGCTGGCTACCACTGTCATTTGTCCTTTCATACTTCAGTCCTTGCTGTTTCTGTTTAACTACAAGAAAACCGATGGGAAGTCTGCATTGAGATGCTTCCTAGATACAAGATGAAGAGAGCCCCCAAAGTACACTGAGGATCAGACTTAGTAAGAAAGAGGGGAAGCTGTTAGGAGACTCTGGGTAGGTCATGGACCGGGGGGGGGGGGGGGGGGGCAGCAAGAATGGACAGAGCCGGGACTTAAACTCAGACATGAGTTTGAACTCTAAAATCCTAACCTTGAGAGATCATCTTATCTTCCCATCAAAAACTACTTATTTCAGTGTAACTTTCTTATAAAACTTTTGTTTTTCCAAAAAAAATTCAAGCACTAAGAAAAGTTATGAAATGAAAAGTTTCTTCCTGATTGCTACACCCATCAGCTCACTGAGTTAACCTTTCCAAAGAGCGGCACAGAGTGTCAGAACAGAGAATCCTAATACAAGAAGGGGATACGTGTTCACGATTTCTCAGGAAAAATCTAATAGAAGGACATGGACACTCGAAGCCCCAGATACTTCTCAGAGAAATCCAAAGAAGACTGTAAAAATATTGTAATCCTAGGTTCTAAGGCTTTTTAATAAAAGCACCTCATGCAGGCCTCACAATGCAGTTTCCATGGCAGCTCTCCAGCCCTATTATTCACTCCCCTAGCACCTGTGGATATTACCCAGTGGATCCAATGACAAATCCAGGGGGAAGGGCCTTAGCTTTGGAGACAGGGCTCTCTCCATGACACCATCTCATTAGACTAGGAAATGGTGAGGTGGGTGTAGATGCTGGAGTGTGCCTCTACAAATTCCCATCACATCATATACATCTGTCCATTCTTACATTCATAATTTCATATGAAAATGTATACCTTCTACTTCATAACCGGAGTCAGTCAGTTGAATATTAGTAAAAGACACATTTACCTGTTCTTAAATTTTAACTTTTATCTTTTAAAAAGATTTTATTTATTTATTTGAGAGAGAGAGAATGAATGAGTGGGGGGAGGCACAAAGGGAGAAAGAGAATTCTCAAACAGACTCCCTGCTGAGCGCGGAGCCCAACGAGGGGCTCAATCTCATGACCTGAGCTGAAATCAAGAGTCAGACACTTAACCGACTGAGCCACCCAGGCGCCCCTAAATTTAACTTAAAAATCAGCATTTATAGGGGCACCTGGGTGGCTTTGTTGGTTAAGTGTCTGCCTTAGGCTTACGTCTTGATCTCTGGGTCCTGGGATAGAGCCCCACATTGGGCTTCCTGCTCGGCAGGGAGTCTGCTTCTCTCTCTCCCCCTATCACTCGTTCTCTTTCTCTCTCAAATAAAAAAATCTTAAAAAAAAAATCATTTGTAGAGAGAAAAAAAAACCCCACCAATAAATAGTATTCCTTATTTATTCTAGCATAAGAAAAAAATTCTTCATTCCAAATGTGGAAAATATAGAAAGCAAATTAAGAGCTGGACCTCAGTATGCTTTCAGAACAGTGGTATCTTGGGGCACTGAGTGGCTCAGTCAGTTAAGTGTCTGCCTTTGGCTCAGGTCATGATTCCAGGGTCCTGCGATCGGGCCTCACATCGGGCTCCCTGCTCAGCAGGGAGTCTGCTTCTCCCTCTCCTGTTCCCCCTGCTTATGCTCTCTAATAAATTTAAAAAAAAAATCTTAAAAAGAAAAAAAAAAGAACAGTGGTATCTTTAAGAAAAGGTTTAACTGAAAGCTCCATATGGAAACAATTTAAGATTGAATTTCAGCTGGGAGAACCCATTAACCATTTATCCCCCCTGACCTCTGATACAGGATTTATTAATTTAAAACAACACATGACTAAGATCACAAAGTAAAAGACATTTATGAACTCTGACTTTAGAATATTTTTTTCATCGATATAAAACGAAAATGAATAGACAGAAAAACCCACAGTAGCCCAAAGGGATCTAGATTCCATGATTTCCTCTGATCTCATACCAAATATTTCAGATAAATAGATTTTATTTACATAAAACTGTAACTAGAAACTGCCAGTCTGCCATTATGTGGGTCACCTGCTTTGAGTGGGAATAAGGGACGGTTACAAGTATCACCATCTGTTAGCAAATAATCTACACTCAACCACTGGATTACAAGGTGAGATGGGTTCTTAGGGGGAAAAACATGTAAATCATAGAGTTGAGTTTGATCCTTGAATGAGAGAATATTCTAGGACAGCTGTGCACTGGAGCTGATCGATAACCTTGCCTATCTCATTTTTTAAAAATGTTTTATTGTGATACAATTCACATGCCATAAAAGTCATCTTTTTAAAGTGTACAATTCAGTGCTTCTTAGTATATTCACAGAGGTGTACAATTTTCATCAGTATCTAAGCTTAAAGTATTATCACCTGAAAAAAGAAACCCCATACTCACATCCTCACCCCTGCCTTCCCCAGGTCCGGACAACCATCAGTCTATTTTCTGACCCTATGGATTTCCCTATTCTGGACATTTCATAATGTGGTCTTTTGTGCCTGGCTTCTTTTACTTAGCATGATGTTTTCGGGTTCATCCATGTTGTAGGGCTCCAACTTCATTCTTTTGCATGTGGTTTATCCAGTTGTCCAGTACCATTTGTTGAAGAGACTATTCTTCCCCTATTCCCTAGTCTGGGCTCTCTTGTAGAAAATCAATTGGCCATAGATGCTTGAGTGTATTTATGGACTCTCAGTTCTCTTCCACCATTAGTCTACAGGTCTATCCTTATGCTAGTCCGCCACTGCCTTAATTACTGTAGTTTGTAGTAAGTTTCACATCTGGGAAGTTTGACTCCTCCGACTCAGATTTTCTCTCTCCGTACTGTTTTGGCTATCTGGGGCCCCTTAACAGTTCCATATAAACTTTTTTTAAAGGCAAGTCAAACTTTGAACATCTAAATAGAAGAGAATGGAAGAAAAGCTGGTATCAGTGGGTTAAAAAAATAATAAATGCAGAAATTCCTAGTAAGATTTATGAGAAATGGGAAAATCTATTGAAAAAAATCTGAAAGCACCATCAAAATAAAGATACAGTACCAATAATAAACTGAATCCAATTTTCCAGTGTCAGAATGTGATTAAGAATATACTCATACTTGTGGAAGTTTTGTTATATAGAAATAAGGAAGAAAAATCAGTCTTCAGCTGCTCAGAAATAAAAATGTCAATTAAATTGCTACAATGAACTCTTAAAAACATGTTTTCATAATATTCTTTAAGATTAGTAGCTCTCCAATGAATTAATGGGTACTTCTAGCAACTGACCCATGAACAATGAGGGTTTGAACTGTGTGTGGGTCCACTTACATGTGGATTTTTTCAATAAATACAGTACTATGTCTTTTCCTTATGATCTTCTTAATAACATTTTCTTTCTTCTAGCTTACTTTATTGTAAGACTATGGTATATAACACATATAACTTCCAAAATATGTTTGTTATCAGTAAGGCTTTCAGTTGACTAGTACTTAAGTTTTGGGGGAGGCAAGTTACATGTAGATTTTTTTACTTTGGGATGGGGGGTCGTGTTAGCTCCCCTACCCCTGCCCCCGTGTTGTTCAAGGTCAACCATAATTTTTTTATGCAAATATCACATTCTAGAGTTCTATAAACTCCCAGAAAGCAATACCTACTTAAAGTCTGAAATCTTGGATGTGAAATAACAGCATGTTAAGAGAATATCACAAGAATAAATTAAGAAACCACAATTAAATTCAGTAATTATAAGCCCTTACTACATGCCTGGCACTGTGGTAGGTCCTGGAGATACAGAACGAGCAAAAGAGACTTAGTCTCTGCCCTCAAGATTTATCCAGTGGAGAAGATTGCCATTAAATAATTCCAGGTGGGAAGGATCTACTAACGGGGTATCTTAAGATTCCAAGGAAATGGCAAGCAAGAGGACTGGGGAATACCCTTGAGCAAGTTTCCTTTAAGTGGAGATGTGAAGAATCAGTAGGAGTCAGCCAGGCAAAGGAGAGAGAGGGCTCAAGAGAGAAAATTCTAGAGACACAGAACAACATACAAGAAGGCTTGCAGTAGAAACAGCTAGAGTACAAAGAGAATTAGACAGTTGTAGAGGCCATAATAAGGGAGAGCGTGGAACAAGATAAAGCCATAAATTCCCCAGCGCCCTGACTACACAGGGTCTAGTGGGCAATGCTAAACGGTTTTGAATTTTTTTTTTTTGTAAATAGCAGTGTTTTAAGCAGCATCACATACTCCCTCCTCTATTTTACCAGTTAATTCCTTAGGTGCTCAAAGAACTTCAGGATCAACAGATGATCAATTTCATCTGATACCCAGGCCTCCTTAGTATAGGTATATTTATATCAAGGTGAGAGTGTCTACTTACGGTATCAAGTATTTCTTTGGTATGAGCTGCTGACAGGCAAAACCGGGCTCTGGACTCAATAATTGGAGTAGCAGGAAATCCCACCACAACTACACCGATATTCCGCTTCAGCATCTCCCGTCCAAAGGCACTGGGAGGAGAAAACAGGGTAAAGACACCAGGAAGAGTAATAAACCACAGAACAAAGGTCCTGAATGATTTAAAAACTCTTAGGTGATACAGACATTGGAAACTTCTATTAGGAATTTCCTCTAACTTCTTTTTAAGTTAAAATTGCCAGACTTAGGGGCAGCGGGGTGGCTCAGTCGGTTAGGCAGCTGACTCTTGATTTTGGCTCAGGTTCTGACCTCAGGGTCCTGGGATTGAGCACTGCATCGGGCTTCATGCTCAGTGGGGAGTCTGTTTGTCTCCCTCTCTCTCTGCTCCTCCCCACTGCTGGCTCGCACACACGTGCTCACACACTCTCTCTCTCTCAAATGGATAAATAAATCTTTAAAAATATTGCCAGACTTCCTCAATTCAATCCTAAAGTGGTCTTCTCCCAAATGGTTTCCTTAACAAAGGTGAAGAATATAGTTGTCAGAGACCAAATTTTAATAGGGCTTGCCTAAACTAATTTGCAATTACAGCCTTAAAGTGTTCCTGATGCATAAATAGCTCATTAACTTCCATGTACATTTTATTTGCTAATTATGTTGTTTCTTGACTATTCCCTTAGGCTGTTTTTTTTTTTTAAGTTTATTTATTTAAGTAATCTCTACACCCAACATGGGGCTTGAACTCAACCCTGAGATCAAGAGTGGCATGCTCTTCCTACTACACCAGCCAGGCATCCTTTCCCTTAGCATTTTAAAGCATCTGTTTGAGAATAAGAAATTCCCCCATTCTAATTACCTGCGTAACCAGCCTTTCCCCACTCCTTCTAGTACGTCCTCTGACCCTGAGCACCCTGCATCTTCAGCACACCCTCCCAAACGGTCTAGTTCTTTATTCCTGTCTGCCTCACCCTCTCTAAATCTTAATGATAATGTACACAGTTTCCCCTGTGTAGAACAGGTTAGACCCAGTTCTTTCTAAAGAAACAGTTCTAGGCTAAGTCCTCCAGACCAGACAACTCTTTATTTATGATAATTCCATTTAAGGAAGAGTGAGAAAACCCTACACCTCTGCTTTGGTTCATTCTCTCCATTCCCTCTGATGGTCAAATACGCATATGACTTCCTGTTGAAAACTGAACTCTTTTTCCCTCAGTGGCCACCTTTTCCCAACTGACCTCTTATGACTTTTGGAATCACCCTACTTCTGGGTTCCCTGCTTTTAATCGTTCCTCCTAGAGATCCATGTTAATGAACATTTACTGAGTGCCCTATGAGTGCCAGGGACTCTGGTGGGCACTGAGAATTCAAAGATGAATAAAAATATTTGCTCCTTTAATGAGTTCAATTAAACCTGAGAAATGATCCTTATCCATTTTATATTTAAGATCTAGTCAAAACTCACAAATCTGAAAAGGTATGTGGATTTTTTCTTTTTTTTTTTTTTTACTAAGTCTACACTAAGCAGATAACTCTTTTTTACATTTCTGATGCAATTTTGCATATACTTATTTTGCAAATAATTGTATTAGCTCATTTCACATTACTTTTCAAATGTCTTCTGCTTTCGTTATACACCTGGACTTCTCACCGGAAGCTATTCCAGGGCAAGGTTTTCCATTATGCACGAGTTGCATAAAGCAAAGAAATTGGTGTAACCTGCACCTTGGGTAGTCATGCAACTAACTATATGCCCTGACCTCTCGGCCCACACTCCCCCCTTGGGCACCGCATTTTAGCTCCACGCACCTTCTTGCTACTCTTCAACTGGCTAAGCATGTTCCTGTGTTATGATCTTTGCAAAGAACTTCTTTCTCCAAGTGGCTAGCTCTGCTCCTTCCAGCTCAGATGTCACCTTCCCTTCCCCCCAGACACCCCCCTGACCACCCAGTTTGATACTGTCATCTGCCTGCCCACGGGGCACTCTCAACCTCCCATATCCTGGTTTACTTTTCCCTGTAACATGTAACGTCTTTTTTTTTTTTTTAAGATTTATTTATTTGAGAGAGAGAGAGTGAGCACGAGAGGGGGGAGGGTCAGAGGGAGAAGCAACTCCCCGTTGAGCAGGGAGCCTGATGTGGGACTCGATCCTGGGACTCCAGGATCATGACCTGAGCCGAAGGCAGTCACTTAACCAACTGAGCCACCCAGGCCACCCCCCTCTTCTAACAAATTACATAACGTATTTTTTGTCTGACTCCTGCCCCGTTAGAACATAAGCTCCACAAGGGCAGGGATTTTTATTTTTGTGTTCTGTCCACTGATCTATCCTAATCTCCTAGAAGAGTGCATTAAACTCAAATTTGTTTAATGAAAGACTAACAAGTTAACATATTTTATAAATTGGAATCCACTATTTAATCTATGGAATTCCTAGCAAATCTAGAAGGTTAACATAATGAGGCCAAGACAATTTTTCCTAACAAAATACACAAGCCTGAATCTAATATCATGGGAGCCTTGAGTCTAATGAGACCAGTCTGTAGCCTGCAACAGAACATACCCAATTTTGGGGCACCTGAGTGGCTGAGTTGTTAAGCATCTGCCTTCGGCTCAGGTCATGATCCCAGGGATCCTGGGATCGAGCCCCACATCCGGCTCCCTGCTCCACGGGAAGCCTGCTTCTCCTTCTCCCACTCCCTCTGCTTGTGTTCCCTCTTTCGCTGTATCTCTGTCAAATGAATAAATAAATAAATAATCTTAAAAAAAAAAAAAAAAAAGAACATACCCTATTTTGGCCGGCATGTAGAGCATCAAAGGCACCACTGGAGAGTCTTCATTCCCATAGATGATGAAGCCCATCTCTTTCAGACGTCTCCTAAAATACTTCGTGTTTTCAGCTAACTGCTGGATACACTCTTTGCCTGGAAAATCATGAGGAGGAAAGCACAAATAACACTAAGAAAAAAGGAGTGGAAAAAAGACAGCAACCTATCTCCATTTTATCAATCAGTCCTATGTTTGGTTCTTCATTTCTAACATAAAATGTTTTCACGTAACAAACTGTATGAAATATAAATATAAACAAATCTTGCTTTGTGGTCTGTCACAGGTGTTCCTAGTGGATTTTGTAGTAACATACAAAATGAAGTTTAATGATTAGTATTGTCATGGCACGTTAGCATCCTTAAACATTTAAATCAATCCACCTCATTTAACACTCTACCATCCCTTCAGAGTATGTAGAATATTCACTGTTCCCTTCATTTTACAGATTAGGCGACTCTCACAAAGGTCCTGGCCTGCAGTCACAAGGTAATAAGGCACAGTTGAGACTAGAATCTAGGTCTCTCAACCTCAATATTCATCCCAATGAACCAAGCTGCAAATACTTTTACACATATGACCAGATATAGAGCCATCAGAGCCCCAAATTTTCCCCTTAAGAGTTTGAGTTTATGTCACCATCTCCCTGAAACATCTATCAGACAACAGTGGTGTATCCATAATAACATATTTTTTTAAAAGATTTATTTATTTGACAGAGAGAGACACAGCGAGAGAAGGATCACAAGCAGGGGGGAGTGGGAGAGGGAGAAGCAGGCTTCTTGCTGAGCAAGGAGCCTGATGTGGGGCTCGATCCCAGGACCCTGGGATCATGACCTGAGCCGAAGGCAGATGCTTAACGAGTGAGCCACCCAGGTGCCCCCATAATGTCATATTTTTAATCCTAGTTTGTTCATCTTCCCTAAAATACAAATGGAATAAAACAAACATTTCTCAAACTGCTAACTAACTAAATGTTTGGACTGGGTTTTGACATTATGGTAGGTCAATCTATGAACAGATGTCCAAACAATCGTGCTATCCTAAGAGTAAGCCTAGGGGCGCCTGGGTGGCTCAGTTGGTTAAGCGACTGCCTTCGGCTCAGGTCATGATCCTGGAGTCCCGGGATCGAGTCCCACATTGGGCTCCCTGCTCAGCAGGGAGTCTGCTTCTCCCTCTGACCCTCTTCCCTCTCGTGCTCTCTTATCTCTCATTCTCTCTCTCTCAAATAAATAAATAAAATCTTTAAAAAAAAAAAGAGTAAGCCTAAATTCAAAACATCAGCTTGCAAAGGGCTAAGAACTGTTTCAGGGTCTTCTCGACCACAAATACTCATAAACAAGAAAAGGTTGCAGTCATTTTCTCCCATATATTAGAGAGTCAACAAATTCACATTTTAAAAAATACAAATATCATACAATTCAAAAGATAAGTAATCAGTTTATCAGAAATACAGGTGGTTAACCAACGTCCTTAGAATACCAACTTATCCAACCATTCACTGATGAATAGCTACCCTCAGTAAGTCTGCTACAAATAACCCACAGTTAATACTTTGTGCAAATAATTTTAGGTTGACTTCGACTGGCTTACTGTGAGCGCTGAAGAACGCCACTTCAGTTATGACCCCTGTCTCACAATAAAGCAGACATTAAAGTATGTTACATTTCAGTATGTCTATATCTGATGATTCTGTGCCCAGGTTTTCCCCCAGAAATACCAATACATGCTTACTCCACATTTAGAAAAAGAGACTTCCACTTCTGGCCAGGATAGAGTACCCAGGACCAGATTTACCTTTCTGCTGTCCACAACAGAAAACTGGAAAAAGCACATAAAACAAAATGTATATAGAATGGTTTTCAAACACCGGGTCATAGGCAGCACTGGACTGTGCTGTTGGAGAAGGAAAACAAAACATGAGCCTCTGGATTGCTCCCTGACTGGCTAGAGGCAGGTCCCAGGCTGTTTGCTGCCCAGGGAGAGGAACCTAGTCTGGTCAGGGGAGGACACCAGAGATTGGAGTTGGGGAGTCTGCAGGAGGGGACCCTTCAGCCTTTGGAGGAGTGCCATCCGCTCTGCATGAGAAGAAACCACCAGGGGCTGTGGAAAGAACTACCAGAAAGCAGCAGAGTCAATAGTTCCTGGTGCTCATATGGAGTTGGCAACAGTTTGTATTTTCACCTCCCAAAATGGGAAGACCTCAGAATCACACTAGCCGTGGAGTGAAATTAGCCCTAGACTAAAAGTTGCTGTGGATCTATCCTAACAAACCTTAAAAGCAAGTCTGGAAAGGATCCAACTGATTCCAAGAACAAAGTCCAACAACAAACACTACCTAAAGGAATACAACAAAGCGCAGCCCCTGATAATGTAAAATTTGCAACGTCTGGCATACAATAAAAAAAATTCCAGGCATTCAAAGAAACAGGAAAATATGACCCATCAACCAGGAGATAAGTCAATCAACAGAAACACACCAGAAATGACAGAGTATCAGCAGACAAGGATGTACAAAATGCTATTATAAATACCCTCCCTACATTCAGAAAGGTGGAGGAAACACGATAAAGGGAGAAAGGAAATATATAAAAAGGAACAAACAATTGATACAGGCAACAATGCTGATGGATCTCAAAAGCATTATGTTACATGAAATAAGCCAGACACAGGTTATACAGTGTATGCATTCATTTATAGGAAAGTCTAAAAGACATAATTACAGACACAGAAGACAGATTAGTGACTGCCAGGGAGTGGAGAGAGAACTGACAGCAGAGGGGTATGAGGGAACTTTTGGGGGGCTGACAAAAATATTCTAGCCCTTGATTGTGGTATGGTTACCTGACTATACATTTGTCAAAACTCATGGAATTATACACTTAAAATTGGTGAATTTTACTGTATACAAATGATACCTCATTAAAGATTATTTATTGTTTTTTAAAATATTTATTTATTTGACAGAGAGAGAGACACACACACAGCGAGAGAGGGAACATAAGCAGGGGGAGTGGGAGAGGGAGAAGCAGGCTTGCCGCGGAGCAGGGAGCCCGATGTGGGGCTCGATCCCAGGACCCAGAGACCATGACCTGAGCCGAAGGCAGATGCTTAACAACTGAGCCACCCAGGCGCCCCTAAAGATTTTTTTAAAAATTTAGTGAAACACTTGCATATTAGTATACGTTATTTTTTTTCTGTACCCACTTTATTATTTTGCAACTTGCTACCTTTTTCTCATCACAAACCAGTTAAAAATTTTTTTTTCTCAGTCCAAGAGTAGCAAGAAAAATTATCAAGGAAGAAAAGAAATCTGAAGGATGTAGACCTTAACTTTTCCTTTTTTTTTTTTAAAGATTTTATTTATTCATTTATTTGAGAGAGAGAGAGAGAGAGAGCACAAGCAGGGGGAGGGGCAGAGGGAGAAGCAGGCTCCCCAATGAGCGGGGAGCCCAACTCGGGGCTCGATCCCAGGACTCCGGGATCATGACCTGAGCCAAAGGCAGATGCTTAACTGACTGAGCCACCCACATGCCCCAGACCTTAACTTTTCCAATTACTGTATCATCCTAAGTAAGTTTTCTTTAATGAAAGGAAGTGAAAATCTCAGTCTCACTATTCATCACCATCTGCTCTCTGACGAGAAGAGTCCCAGAAGAAAATACATCTAAAATGACACTCACATAACACAACATGAAGATAGTGGGAATAGCATTTAAAGTCTCCAACTTACACATCCCATTATTGTTGAACAGTATTCCTTTGTAAAGATACACCACCATTGTTTTGTTCGTATATCCACTCATATGTTACTGGACATCAAGGGATTACCAACCTTCACTTTGGCAGCTATAAAGTTTAGATTAAAAAGAATTCTCTCCTAAACATGTATTTAAGCATCCTAGTCACACTGGAATTGAAATAAAATTTAAAAATAAAATGAAAATAATAATAATAAAAGAATTAACAGCTCAATTTCACTTGATCCTGACTGCTTTTAGATGGATATAATAAAAGAATGTATTATTTATACTTTACACATAAAGAAACAGGCCCAGGGATGTTAAATTATTTCTCTAAGGCCTTTCTTTCAGGAGGTAGATCAAGGTTTTCTGATTCTGTCAATGCTTTTTCTTCTACACCACATCAAGCAATTATGTATTTTTCAAACTTTAAGGTGTTCAGCCCTTTATTGGGTAAGAGTATCTGTGTCTTATTTTTAAACAGCACTTACTGGCAATGAATGGAGTAGGGATGAATGGGTGCAGGAGCCTAAGGAGACACAGGGCAAGTATGAGACAAGTGAAAAGCAATTCTTCCAATCAACTCACCCTGAACAGCAAACTGCAATCTCTGCTGGTGAGTACAGGAATAAAGACTGAGTGGAAGTGTCAAGGCCAGTGCTAAAGAAGTCAGCTCAGAAATGGCCATCGTAGGGAATCACACAAATTAAGTGGTCTGTTGAACCTACAAAAGTCGTAGCCTGAACCATGAAACTGCTGATATTTGACTGTCACCTAAAAATGGCAATTTCTTATGGTTCAACCAAATAATTTCAAAGGCAATAATAGGAAAAGTAGACAAATAACTGCAAACAATTCAGTAAGCTCTGGCACTTATACATACTGGGAAGTAGTTACAAAGTTATTCCTTATTCTTAAGGTGATGCTGAATTTTAAAGACAACACAGTTACCCATTTTGAATTAAATATCATCTAAAATACTAGTTAAGAGGCACCTGGGTGGCTCAGTCAGTTAAGCGTCTGCCTTCAGCTCAGGTCATGATCCTAGGGACCTGGGATCCAGCCCCAGGCTGGGCTCTCTGCTCAGTGGGAAGCCTGCTTCTCCCTCCCCCCAGCCCAGCCCCACCATGTGCGCGCTCTGTCTGAAATAAATAAAATCCTTAATAATATAAAATAAAATACTAGTTAATACTAATGCAAGAAGTGTAATTGCTACTTAAATCCAATCTGCTAGCTCAGTTCCAAGAAGTTTTCTTACCGGAGTTGCAGCAAGTTATACTGGGCTGGAAAAATGGTCTAACAGCGATTTTTTTTCTCTTCCTTTTTTTTTAAAGTAATCTCCGCGGGACTCAAAC